GGCTCCAAATTATGGCGCTTTTCTATTTGACACATGCGTTTACAGTCTTTGTTCGAAAGAAGTAGAAGTTGTTCGAGATCCTGGTATTGTAAGCACCGTTCGAGCGTTAACTTGTTATGCGCCCGAAAATAGTAGATTTATGAGTATCGGAGGATGGAATTTCCCATCTAAACCTATTCTATATGAAAAGGATAGAATGCTTAGTTTATTGATACCATTGAAGCATATTTTCAATATTTTCAATGATTACACAACAATCGTTTATGGAAGACAAACTTTTCGTTTTGTTCGATCCCGAAATGACAATGATTGCGTAATAATTAAAGAAAAGCCGGGAACACATACTACAGCAAGCTTAAAAATAGACAGTATGGAATTAAAAGTGAAACACATATATCCAAATGAAGAAATAAAAATTAAACTGATGAAACCGATCAATAACGATACCCCTATACTCGTTCCATTCGGAAAATGGGAACTAAACGAATTGCCATCGTTAACGACATTATCGAAACGAGAAATTTGGGCGGTAAAGACTAGTGCATCAGTGGAACGCCCACGTTTCATTATAGTTTGCTTCCAAGTCGATCGTCGAAATAAGCTGACTGGCGACCCGACGCTTTTCGATCCTATTGACATTTCCAGCATCAGAGTGACTTTGAACGGTGAATATTGGCCGAACGAAAGAATGCAATTAGACTTTGGAAAAGATGATTATACAACGGCTCGTATGTATGTTTCCAACTAAAAATACGCGCTCGTCGAGATGCAAGACGGAAATAAATTACGCTACGTGAGCGTTTACTTTCGATTTGAGGTTTTTTGAAATCCAACATTCTGAAATTTTATTCAAAAAGTAATTAGGATTTTGCTGCTTTTATATAAAAGTCAATTTTTTTATTTGATTGGATTTGGCAGCTTTTTTTAAATAAAAGTCAAAAATTTTTGAAATCCAACATTCTGAAATTTTATTCAAAAAGTAATTAGGATATATATACAGTGTGTGTCACGACGAGGGCCCATTAGAAGTATCTGGAAAAGTAGTTGTAATTAAAATTTGAAAATTTGTGTACAAGTATTAGTCGATGAGCTCTATTCAATGAAAATATTTTCAACTTTTCTTCACTTCCGGTTATACCGGAAGTGGACATCAACTTTGGTATTTTAAATGGGACACCCCATATATTAATATATTTTCGAAATCTACGTAAAATTTTAGGGTACTTCTGTCTAAAACACTTTTTTCAAAAATGAATACTTTTTGAGTTACTAATTTCTTTTTGAAAAATTTGACCGATGCGGAACCTTATAAATTATTTTTTTACGGGGATCCCTTTAAAGATATGAAAACAGTTTTTGTAGGGTGGCTAATAGAAGGGTCAGAGGTATTTGAACCTGTGTTGAAAAACTCCTATTTATATACAGGGTGTGCATAAAAAAAGTGAAAAGTTGAACTTCAAAAATACCAAATTTTTTCATTTTTTTAAATGGAACCACCCATTTTTTTCTATTTTATTGAAATCAGCGGTAAAAAATAAGGAAAGTTCGTGTTCACTTCCTATGCCTAAACCTATAATAGTTTTGAAGATATTGAATATTTTACATAAATCTTACTTTTCTGCCTTATTCTTAAATAACTCTGTTTTACAAGTTGGCCATGTAATATCTTACAAGTACCAAAATTAATAATCAACTAATTACAAACAATTTACATGGCCAACTTGTAAAAATGGATTATTTAAACATAAGGCAGAACAGTAAGTTTTAAGTAAAATTTTTAATATCATCAAACCTATAATTAGGTTTAGGTATAGGGAAGTAAACATGAACCTCCCTTATTTTTTACCGCTGATTTCAATAAAATAGAAAAAAATGGGTGGCTTGATTTAAAAAAATGAAATAATTTGGTTCTTTTGAAGTTCAACTTTTCACATGTTTTGTGTACACCCTGTATAAAATAAAAAGTTTTTTAACACAGATTCAAATACCTTTGACCTTGCTAGTGGCCACCCTACAGAAACCGAATCCATATCTTTAAAGGGATCCCCGTAAAGAAATTATTTATAAGGGTCTGCATCGGTCAAATTTTTCAAAAAAAATAATTAGTAACTCAAAAAGTATTCATTTTTGAAAAAAGATTTTTAGACAAAAGCACTCTAAAATTTTGCGTACATTTCGAAAATATATTAATATATGGGGTGTCCCATTTAAAATAACAAAGTTGATGTCCACTTCTGGTATAACCGGTAGTAAAGAAAAGTTGAAAATATTTTCATTAAATAGAGCACATCGACTAATACTTGTACACACATTTTCAAATTTTAATTACAACTACTTTTCAAGATACTTCTAATGGGCCCTCGTCATGACACACACTGTATATACAGGGTGTTTGTAAATTGCATGCACATATTAAAACTGGTTAAACTATATGCTTAATAAAAACTATTGTATAAATTATTTTTTCAAAATAGCGTATAATTACCGAGTAATTAATTTTTGAAAATTGTTGTTAAATAAGATACACGCCTCTGAAATGTTGAGAGGGTCAGTTACAAATTTAAAGCGATCAGCTGTGGATCGGCGGATTTCTTTCAACGTTGCCATGTTTTATTTGTTAATTTGAAAAATAAGACATTTTTAAAGAATGTGTTTCTTTTCATTTAAAGGATTAGAATTACTTTAGATACTAATAATCATACTAGTAATCGGTTAATATTTAAAAATTGAAGTATTTTTCATTTAATTCAGATGCAATAATCAATTGAGTAATTTTAAACAAATCGACTCGCGCGATACGATCCGTAAAGTTGTAATATCGACACAATAATAATTGATAAATGAAAAATCATGTCTCAAAAGAATTTATTTATTACTTACTACTTATTAGAAGCACATCAATTAATTAACTCATTTTGATCAAACGCGTCTGCCATTGCATTGCTCCAAGAATCAGAACACTAAACTAAGAACAAACTAAACTTGAAAAATAATAAGAAGTTAAACACTATCAAACAAATCACTTAAAAGAACTATCTATTTGACCACGAGGTTAACAACCCTACAAAACAATACGCACTAGAAAACATTCGGCTAGATTTTTTGAAGGCCGGCAGGCGGAGGGAGAAATTTGCACGTCACATCGCATAAATTATCTTTTACAAGGGTAATAAAGCGATTTCTTTAGTTACTACACAAAGATAGAGACCAGCTCGTGCGTTGATTTGCCTTTGCCGATTTGAAAAAAACATAAAAATTTGTAAATTTGTTATGTGTGAACTTTTATCAAGTTTGAGTTTTTGTGTTTGTTAGTTTTTGGTTCTTTACGCAGAAGAGCAGAAGCTTGTATTGAAATTAATGGTGGATACTTTGAACAATAATTGTTCAACAATTAATCACAACAATTATTGTTGTGATACTTTGTAAGGATACCTAGATAATCATGAAGATTTTGGGTAAGTTTAATTTATTTAAGGAATAGGGTTCCTTAGTTTTTAATGTATTCAATGTTTCCGAAATTCATGAGCTATTTTCGAATATTTTGCAAAACATTATTTGACGAAATTCAACCATTTTTAAAATGATTAATTTTAGTATACCTAGTTGGTTTGACGATATTACGGAAAAATTATCACATTATTTCGTTTTATAAACATTTTGCAACACTGTTCGTTCAACGCGCTCCCAGCCGCTTATGCAGAATACGCGTAGATAATACGACGTAGAGTTTGGGGCGGATAAATGTTAAATTGCCCCAAGTTTAAACATTTGAATTAAAAAAAAATAATAACGCCAAATCACTTTTAGAGGTATTCCTGACATGTGGTTGAAATATGTGCATGCAATTTACAAACACCCTGTATATATATATGAGTCAAGTTAATAAAAAAGAACAGTATTAAAATGAATTTGAATGAATACGAACGTACATTTTATAAAAAATTACGTTTATTAGATGAAGAAAAAGAGAATTTGGAAAAGCTTTGGGATAACATATTTAAAAAGCGAAAATTACCAAGGGCGACACCACCGTTGAGACAAATTCATCCTAAAACTATACAAAATGAACAGCAGCATCAGCAGCAGCAGCAGCAGCAGCAGCAGCAGCAGCAGCAGCAGCAGCAGCAGCAGCAGCAGCAGCGGGGACAATAAAATTAATGATTTAATAACGATGAATTGTATAATATTAGCATCGATATTAATTTTAATATTGAAAATTATAGTTAAAATTGTAAAACGAAAATTTCAATCTTCCTGTAATATAATTCTTGATGAATCTTGTTTCCAACTAAAAACACGCGCTCGTCGAGATGCGAGACGGAAATAAATTACGCTACGTGAGCGTTTACTTTCGATTTGAGGTTTTTTGAAATCCAACATTCTGAAATTTTATTCAAAAAGTAATTAGGATTTTGCTGCTTTTATATAAAAGTCAATTTTTTTATTTGATTGGATTTGGCAGCTTTTTAAAAAAATCAAAAATTAATTAGGATTTTGGCAGCTTTTTTTAAATAAAAGTCAAAAATTTTTGAAATCCAACATTCTGAAATTTTATTCAAAAAGTAATTAGGATATATTATATACAATTTTACAAATAGTCATTTCAAATAGTCATGGTCGACGATGTTGTGGAGGCTACGGGCGGCGACGGTGGAGCGTTCATCTGTAAGGAAAAAACCGATCTAAAACATCCCAAGTCAGATGAGGAAAAATTTCACTTTTAAGGTTCTTTCCTCGAAGTGAAATTATTCTACATCAGACTCAATATTATTTTAGTTCTGTTTTTTACATACACGGTTCTGGAAGGTCGGCGTCGGTGGATCTGTAATGAAAAAAAGTTCTAAAATTATTTAAAATAATTTTATATATTTTTTTACCATACCTGTGGGGGGAGGGCGGCGTCGTTACAGCATTCACCTGAAATGAAAAAATCTATATTGAAATATAATTTTCGATACAATTTTTATCATTACCGTTCATCATCATCATCATCATCATCATCAAAACCTCACTATCCAACAAGTGATGGGCTCCGCCGCTTCAGTCTCCACCGTGTAAAAAATTCTATGCCCTAGGACTGATCCTAGGGCATTGAATTGGTGCGGCGGAGTCTTCTCCCCCAACTCCGCCCTAACTGCGATTATTTTCAGATGCTGTAATAAAAAAGTAAAAATAAAAAGTATAAATAAAAAAATTAAAAAAATTACTTACACTAAACTCGGTCGCCCCCTCACCATCGCCGTTGCTAGGGCTTTCACCGTTATTTCCAACGGCGATGGCGCTTTTGTGGGTTGTTTTGACTCCATTGTTCTAAAAAAAAAAAAATCCCCTAAAATTTATCCACTAAACTAACAATAAGTATCTTACCTTTTTCAATATCAAACGGATTGGAAACTGGTCGCTGTTCCAATTTACCACTTCTTTTATAACATTCATTTTCCCACTCATTTTTCCATTACTTTTCCTAATATCACGAAAGGAAATCCTGAAAAAATAACGTGTGCTGCAGTATAAGATAAAACCAAGAAAAATCTCGGTAATTAAAAAAAAGGAAGTTGTTTTGCTGGAAATTTATTAGGTATGATAAAAAATAAACACAGGAAAATAAGGTTCAATTGATATTACAAAATCTAAATGCTGCGTTGGTAGATAAAAAAATAGTCAACGTTCACTTATATATAGATATAATTTTAATTAGCAAAGTTTGTAATTGTGTTAATAGACCGTCTTCGGGGCAGGGTATTCCGAAAAGATTCCAATTGAATTGTCCCGCATCGACTACTTTCCGTGTATATTCGCTATATTTGTAATATGTATTTTTAAGGAAAAAGTAAATATACCCATCCGTATAGCGAAATACCGATCTAATACCCTTACGTATACCAGGAAAAAGGTCACTAATCGCTCCACGAGTGATAATATTTCCATTCTCTTCGTTAAATTCAACAAATTTAGACAAATTTAGAAAGTAAATGAAAAATTATTTTGTATATTTAAATTTGGAAACGATGCCTCGTAGTACATAGACGAAAAAAATGTCGCCAAGTTCCCTTTAGAGTTTTGATAAACGTGAGTAATGTTCTTCGATTTTAATTCGTGCGGAAGGTAATCGTCGATTAATTCAGGCGTCTTCGGAATAGTCATATCGTTTAATTCGAATTTCCATAAAAATGAGTCAAATCCAACGTACATTCGATAATTAAGAGAAACATTGTTTATTTCTTTTAGATCCATCTAAAAGATTTATAATTTAAAATTATTTTTAATATTTAAATAATTTACTTACTTTTCTTACACAAAACTACACGATCACAGTACTGTTCAGAAGTTTTGTTCAAACAATATGGAAAAATCTGCAACGCCTCTATAAATAAGGGATTTTATCAAAGAAAAGTCTGCCTGTTGGTATTAATTAAGATAAGAAAATAACCTAATTAGGAAAGGAAACAGGAAATTGTGATAAAAAAATGTCGCACTCGCACTGATAAAACGCAAATAAGAATTATAATTTCCGATAGATTTTTAACGACTTTTTGCCCAACTCGTTACACCTCCCACACAGAATTCGTTCCTCCCCACCACACACAGAAACAAGAAAATACAGGAATTTCCGATAAATTTTCCTCCCGACCGTGACAACCCCGCATCCCCCACCCTCACGTCACCCGCCCCCGACTACTTTATATACTCAACTTTTATCAACAGTATTGACACGACGCCTCCGCAGTCTAGCCCTTAGGAAATCGCCTCTCCGCCACAAGCGACCGAGGTTCAAACCCCAGGCAAGTACAACCGCTTTTTTTCTCATATTTATTTACATGTGTCATGTGTCATGAGAGTTGTCTATCACGCCGAGTTGACAGACGTCAACGGAGCGACGTTGACATACGTCAACGGAGTGACATATGTCTCTCTCTCTCTCTAACACATTGACTTCTATATATCTCTCTCTCTAACACACTGTTTTTCCTATGACCATGCTAGAACCGGCCTTGTATATCTACTTACCGCTGCCGTGTCGAAACGTTTATCGTGCATTAATTTCTGACTCATTGTTTGGTTTTTGTTGGGTTCTTGTATAATGATAATATCTGCTTTTGTGGTGTCCGCCATTGCATGCATTACGTCGAAGGCTGTTTTGGATCTTCCTACTATATGTGTTAAGGATTGCATTCGTAATTTATTATAAAATAGGATTTTTGTGCGTTACGGCAACCCCGTAATTCCTTAAAACCACGGGCTCTCGCCGGCTATAATTTTGGCGAAACAGGACTTCGATTTGCTACGCGGACTAAGCAAGTAGTCCCGATTTTGTATTACGATTAATGTATTTTCTGTTAGTTCGACTTATTAAACAAATATACAGTCCACTAAAGAGTTTTTCTACGACGAAGAAGACGAATTAACATTTGGTCCAGACGAACCGGATTTGTTTTCGGACGAACCAGATTAGTTTTCTTGTTGCCGATAAAATTACGGAGGATTTACCGCAGTCCTCATTTGACATATCGTTGTTAGATATTCCTTCATACGTTGAGTTGGCTGATGCGAATGTGCATGAAAGTCGTCAGGTCGATGTATTATTGGGGGTACAGGTGTTTTTCGATGTTTTGAGACAGGAGCGGTTGGAGTTGAATGGCGGCGAGATTATTTTGCAGAACACTAGACTTGGGTGGATTATGGTGGGAAAGGTTCCGATCATAGAGAAAGAAAGATGAGAGAGTTCGATCTCTTACTAAAAATTGGAAACGCGTCGATGGTGCTGCTGCTAGTATGGTGTCCCACGAACTAGAGAAATATCGAGTAGATTTCTTCTATATTTCAAAATTAAAAATGGGCGGTATATTCAAATTTTATTTTTATAATTTAATATTACCCATTGCAATTATAAAATAAGAACAACTTTTGATAATTAGAAATGTATTTATTGACAGATATAAAAAATTAAATAGATACATATAACCTAAATAAATGAATTACAATGCAATATTTGAACATTATTTGACAATAATAACAAAAATAAAAATGAAATACATAATATATAAATAATATAATAGAATAAATAAAAACGTAAAATAAATACAACTTTGTAAGACTTTGATACTAGCCCTTTAGCGTTACCCAGGATGCACCACGAGGAGGCGAACTAGATTTGCATCCCTTAATTTAAAAACATCCAGGAAGAAAAGATATTATTACTATTATGGTAGATTTTAAATGAATAACAATATATATTAAAAAAAAATTAGACATTAAAAAAAGATTACCATCGAATTACGTTACATTCCACATTAAAAATAATTATATCTTTTCTTCCATACAAAATTCAGCCTGCAAAAATTTATTGAAACATTACAAAAAACTACAATGCGCGTATATAAGTTATGTTAGCTTCCAACCAATGGTTATACAACCAATTCAACTATAAATTTAAAGTTTATCTACTATATGTACATTAATTACTACATTATACTAATATCACAAAAAAAACTAAAGTACGAAGAAGACTAAAATAAAATAGAAAAATAAAAATACTCACAATTTAGGTTAAGCACTATAATGGCGTCTCCATCACTCACGAAACTCACTTTAAAAAGACCGGCCGTCTGTCGTTTGCGGGTCTCGTCTTATGCGGGACTCGTCTCATGTTAAATTAGCCAATCAAATCAATCGAAATTCATTTAATTTTTCGATAGTAGCGCCTCTGGTACCGTGTCTCAGAACTAATCGTGTTATTGGCTGTGTCCTATGCTTTAAACAGTCTCTTTTATTTTGTCTATGGTTCCGATATTCAGGAATCCTTCGAATTTGATACGTTGTTGTTTGAGTACCGCGACAGACGAGTTGCACGAGATGGTAAAGAAATTTTGGGAATTGTAAGATTTAGGTAACAGGCGCACTTTTACGAATGACGAATTGGAATGCGAGGAGCATTTTAAAAATACGTTTATTCGCGATGCGTTGGGCAGATTTGAGTTGTCTTTGCCGTTTAAAGAAAATTACGGGGGTTTGGGTGATTCAAGGAATTCCGCTGTGAGGCAGTTCTACGCGTTGGAAAAGCGGTTCGTACGAAATGATGGGATGCGAAACGAATACGTTAGATTTATGACAGAATACGAAGCTTTGGGACATATGCAATTAGTTGCGAGCACTGATGACGGTGAATCGAATTGTTATTATTTGCCGCATCACTGTGTTATCAAGGAGAGTAGTTCTACCACGAAATTGCGGGTAGTGTTTAACGCGTCGGCGGCGACAACTTCTGGTTTGACACTAAATGATGTTTTAAAGACCGGACCTGTTATTCAGAACGATTTATTTACCATAGCATTAAATTTTAGAGCGCATCGAATAGTCTTTACGGCGGACATCGAAAAAATGTACCGGCAATGTAACATTATTCCTGAACATCGACGTTTTCAGCGTATCGTTTGGAGGTCCGATCCGCACGATGTGCTGAGGCACTACGAACTTAATACGGTGACTTACGGAACCACGTCAGCGTCGTTTTTGGCGTGTCGTTGTTTGCTACAGCTCGCGTTGGAATGCAAAGGGGAATTTCCGGATGCGGCATTTTCAATAGAAAACGAATTTTACATGGACGATCTAATCAGTGGATCTGATTCTGTTCAGAATGCATTGATTCTGAAGAAACAAATTAGTAGCGTTTTAATGCGGGCTGGATTTATGTTGCGTAAGTGGTCGTCAAACTGTGCAGAGTTGTTTGACGATGATGCTGCGGGGAATGAACAGGAGTACTTCCTTGCAAAGGATGAAACGATCAAAACACTTGGATTAATATGGGATCCTAGGACGGATACTTTTTCATATTTGGTTAATATACCTACTTGCGTGGCGGTTACTAAGCGATCGGCTCTTTCGGTGATCTCCAGGGTGTTCGATCCACTCGGTTTGATCAACCCGGTGATGGTTAGGGGTAAGTTAATTTTGCAAAGATTATGGGAACGTGGTGTTGGATGCGACGATCCACTACCTGACGATTTGGGAAAAATATTCGGTGATTTTTATAACTGTTTAAGTAGGATAAACGACATTCAGATTCCCAGACGGGTGGTCACGTCTTGCGTTTCGAATGGTGATGTACAGGTGCACGGTTTTGGCGACGCTTCGGAGGCGGCGTTTGGAGCTTGTTTATATATACGTTTCGGAACGGGAGGGACAAAGTATGGGGCTAGATTGTTGTGCGCTAAATCTAAAATAGCTCCATTAAAAAGAATTACGCTTCCGCGTTTAGAGTTAAATGCGGCTTTGCTTTTATCGAGATTGGTCAATAAGGTATTGCGTTCATTTCGGATGAGACCATCATCTGTTTACTTGTGGAGCGATTCAAACAGTTTCAAACAGATTCAAAAGTTTAACTCAGTGATATGAGTGGCGCCACGTGCCTTCGTCTGAGAACCCGGCGGATTTGGTTAGTCGC